ACCCTGAGGAAATGTAAACCTTGCCAAGTACTGAGGAAAGTGCAGAGGAGAGCATGCCTTGTCGCCCAAAATAATAAATAGGAATATGCCATCACACAAGAAAACACACACCAAAACCCTCCCCAAAGGTTTCAGACCTGGCATCTGAAATATCACCTTCCTGGGCCTGGTTCTGACACTGTTGTACATTGCTGCACTTGAGGATTTGTTTTATTTTATGGAGAATACCTCAATGGGACTCCTCATATATGCAACCAAAATTAAATCATTAGATTGCTTAAGAGAAATTGCTGGATCAATTGCAAAGATCTTTGAAGGTTTGTGTCCAGTTTGTAGACCAAGCGGGGCATGCTTTTAAAAACAGCTGAATGTTTTTCAGCTGCAGAAAGAAGGTGTAGAGTTTCTACAAGTAAATTGAGTGCATTACAGCAGCTTCCAGAATCCATTGTTGGAATTTGGCTCCTTCTGTATTTCTCTCCTAGAAATCCATGCTAAAAGGTTTGTGCACGAGAAATTCATTGTTCTGTTTGCTGTCACAGCTGTAGGATGTTTGGAAGCAGCTCTAGTGGGGAAGAAGCTTTTGTGGTGAACAACTTCAGCTACGAGTAGTTCAGTGCACAAGCCCTGGAACATATTGTGTGCCATTAATTTGGATACAGCAATATGGAAAGTTAGAAAACAGGCAGCTGAATGCATCTGCAGTTTGGCAAAGTATAATCTAGGTAACCTCAGCACTAAATGCAGGAGCTGCTGGGAGCCTTTGACAAACCTCTCCCACTTCCATGCATTTTTAGACACTTTCAAGTTGCTGCTTATGGTGGCACCTGTTGCTGACTTGAGTCTCCTAGAAGCCATCAGTATCATTTTAGTGGCCACCACATACAAATTCTCAGAGTAGCCTGAATGCATTTGAAGGAGCAGAGAGAGCTTTAGGGGTGCATGAATAAAAAAAAATCTGAAAATACACCCTTTCTCTGTACAGAGGAGTGAGTGCCACAGGTCCCTTGCTCTTCCTTTCAACATTGTTTGCTGCAGAAATGCAGCATTTGTGTCACTGAGTTCAGTGCCAAGATGAGCATTTGCCACCTATATAGGAGCTTAAAGTAGCACAGAGTCTGACAGAAATACCTTGAAGGCTGACAGAGGGATGGTATTCTGATGCAGTATACTCTGATGTAGGAAGTTTTTATTTATTTTGGATTATATAAGCACCCTGGGGAGGAATATGGCTTAGATTTACTCTGATGTGACCCAACCACAGTGTGTCTGAAATGTAAAATTATCATGGAGCACTCCCCAAGAGTCTGGAAATGGTGCAGCCCTACTGAATGATAGATTTTTAGCCATTCTCCTGCCTAGATCCCACTTGGTTAATGTAATGCTGATTAAAGCAAGTACACTTCTTCTACAGCACTCCCATTCATCCCTCCTTAGCCACTTACTGCAGAGACCATGCAGGCTTTTAATTATTTTACTAAACAGAGAGCATTTTTCTTGGAAGTGCATAATGAAATTTTAATCACCATGCTTTTAATTCCAACAGGAAGACCTCAAATAGCAGCAAAGTCCATGTGAAATTCCACATATGTTTCAGCTTTCCTTCCACAGCACCAAGCAGAAGCAAGGAGTCCAAGGGAAGGAGGGAGCCTCAAATAATACATAGCACTATTACTGTCCTTAAGTCATAAATCCCAAGGCTTTGCTTTTCTACAGGAGCATCAAAAAACCTGTTTTCTGGTGCTTCCACAGCCATGGTGCCACATCCCTCTGTCTTTAGCTCACACAGAGCAGAAGAAACATCCTTGTCCACTAAGGTATCTATGTCTCAAACTCATAGTCCAGATTACAAGTTAAACTCTCGGAGAAGAGTAAGAAAATGGTTCTCTTCTTTTTTGCTATCAAGCACAAATGAAGTTCATCCTGTCTTTGGACTTAATTCTCAGAGGTAAAATATATCTTCAGTCAAAGGCAGATACCTGGCAAAAAAGAAAGTAAGTACCATCACTTTTCTCTATTAATGCAAAAGATTCCTGGGTAAATTCATCTCAAACCTAGAATTATTCTCTGTAAGCAAATTTTTGCTTCAATAAATCAAGAAATCATCAAACTTTGAATGTTTTTCACAAAGATGACCCAGCATATTAAGTTTTTGCAGTGTTTCGTTGGAGGATCCTCTTGTGAAGGCGCAATAATAAGGTGAATTAGCTACTAGCTGAAATTAGTTATAAAGAGACCTTGAGAGAAATTCTAGCAAAAAAAAAAAAAAAAAAGAGAGAAAGATAGAAATCTGAGAATTCACGTTTGCTTTATTAAGCAATGAAAATTAAGATGTCCTTGCATTAAGATTCCCAGGCAGTTTAATCCTTTATTACTAATAAATGATCTTTTATTTAAAGGATTTTGAAGTGGACAGAGATAACAGTTTAATCATTATGATGAAAAGCCAAGATTTTTCATCTTCAAAGTGCTGAAATATCAGCATAAACCAGTAATAATGAATCTTGTTAATCATTAGCATCCCTCAAATATAATGGGAATAACACTTTTCCTAAGAGCTTGCAAAAGAATTGAGAAAAAAGCGAGTGGGTTTTTTATAGGTTAAACCTTTTATAACTAACTTTATTCATATTTTAATGAGTAATGTATGAATAAGTGGATTTTTAAGTTAACAAATGAATATTTAAAGAAAAAAGAACAGAATGAATTTGTCAATCAAAAGACCTCCAAACCCAGGTACGTGCTCCAGGCGTGATCTTGAAAACATTTATGCACATGAGTAACTTGTGACTCATGACTCATCCCAGTAAAGTCAAGGGTACTAAATAAACCTTTTATGAGGAATGCATGTCAGGATGACAGTTTGTATGCCACCCAACACAATGGAAAAGATAAATATCTGCAAGGTAGGGGCCTAATATAAAGGCATCATCTAAGCTTTCCTCCAAAGCAAGATGAAAGTTTTGGGGAGCAGCTCTGTGGGAAAGGCCCTGGGAGGTGGGAGCCGGCAAGCTGAATATCAGCACATGCTGTGTCCTGCAGGAAAGGCAGCCAACAGCTCCTGGGTGTGTGAACAGGAGCATGGCACACAGAGCAGGGAAACCAAGGATCATCCCTCTCCCTGTGGCACTCACCACTCTAGGTAGGGCATTGAGTTTAGGGCCCTGCAATGCAGGAAACACGTGGGAGAACTGGAGGGAGCTTTAGAAGGTTCCAAGGCAGTAGGGGCTGGAGTCCTTGATGTATGAGCACAGGCAGGGGGAGCTGGGCTGCTTCAGCCTGGAGAAGAGATCACTTTAGGGGCACTAACAGCCCCTCAGTGCCTACAAGGGGTTATCAGGGAGACAGAACTAGATTCCCATAGGATGGGAGAATGAGACACAAATGTCCATACATGGAACTAGAGAGTTTCAGACTTGATTTAAGGAAAAGCTTTTTCCCTGTGAGGACAGTCTGAAAATGGGACAGGTTGTACAGAGTGGTTGTACAGCACCCCTCCTTAGAAGTTTCAAGATCCAACTGAACAAATCCCTGAGCAGTCTTGTCTGATGCCACATCTTACCCTGCTTTGAACAGGGCTGTGAACCAGGTCACCTCCCCTAGGTCATTTCAACTGATCCCACAATCCCATAAATCCCCTACTGTTGCTTAAACCATGTAAATGTTGAATTGGCTCTAATTAGGGAAGAAATTATTCCTTTATTCCAACATTTCCCCAGAAATGGTTATGGTTTATTCTTCTAATGAAGTTCCCTAGGCCTGCATACTACCAGGCAGCCTTGATGCCTCCATAATCAGCACTCACCATGAGTTACTGGTATCACTATTTCAGTCAGTATATCTACTATACTCCTGGTATATCACATCAACAGTGAAACAAAAAAAAACTTATTCAACAGATCTTTCTGTCTAAGAATAGATCCAGCTTATTTTATCCGCCATCTCACTTTTTTTAGTTTTCCCAGTAAAATACCATGCATGATAAAAGGATTATACACATCACCATATGAAATTGTGTGTGACCTCGAATACATACTTTTTATATTGATGAATACTCTGGCACGAACATGCACCAGCACATTTGTAAGAAAGTAATCAGTATGTAGGAGTCCAGAATGTCTTTTCATTTTATATGGCCCCTCTTTACAATGGATGCACAAACACAGGCTACTTTCACTTGCCCAAAAAATATATGCACAAAGGTCTCACTTTTGTCTAAGCTCCATGGTAATTCTTAGAGAATCTCACTTTAAAGTCTCTTATGTATGAGAACTGTCTGCAGGCATGGGTATCTCTGTAAGGGTCTACCTAGAAACTAGAGATGGTCATGGTTATCAAACCTTATAGCCATCCTGGCTGGGGCACTGTGTCAGGAATTCAGCTCCTGTAGGCTGGGAATGGGCAAGGGATGTAATGGGAAATGGCAATATCCTATGTGCAAGACAAGCAATGACTGCTCTTAATCTGCCTTTCTGTGAGGGACCAGGTTTTGTGTGTGCATGCGTGGTACCAAGGTCCCACTGAGAACTTCTGCGCTGCCCAGTGCCTGGCCCCCAGCAGGGCTCAGGCAGGAGAGATGAACACATGAACTCCAGCTGTGGGAGCACATTCAAACCCAAAACTCTCAGACCTGGGGGATTTTGAAGTGAAAGACAGAGACATCCAATGAGATTCAGTAGCTCTGAAGTGGCTGTTCTTACTTACAAAGTCTCTGGTGATTTATATCCTCTATATCCTTCTATATCTAGCCATAAGTCCACTAAAACATTTTGCAGCAGATTTTGGGGAAGGAATACATACTTTTGCAAAAATAAAACAAAAATTAAAAATAAATTAATAAATTAAAAAATTCTTTCTGGAAAAAATGCTAGAGAAACATCTTCATCAATTTTCCTGCAAAAAGGTCAAGCTCAAGATGTAGACAATAAAAAGAGCAGGGAAATAGCTGAATAAATTCTCAGCTGGTATCTTAATAGTTATAAATCCTTTTATCTCTCTTGCAGGATACTTGCAACCGTTGTAAACTGCTTCTTCCAAATCAAAGGGTGACAAGAGTTACAAAAGAGGACACACTAAACCAGATTTCACCCATCATGGACCAATAGAAAAATCAAGTACATCTCTGTCCTAGATTCATCATAATTAGTGAGAGGGTCTTGTAGGTAAGGGGAGAGAAGAAGAGGGATATTCTAGGAATATTTCTTCTTACAGTATTGGTATCTTCTGCTTTTTCCAGTTTTTTTGGGGGGTCATATTAAGAAAGAAGGAATTCTATAATCAATGTTCCAACATGAGAAAGTCAGCTAAAATAGATGGCTTTTCCACTGCAGATCTCCTTATCAACACAGTAATTTAATATCTACAACAGTTAATGAAATCTGAAGTGATATTTGACATAAGTTTTTAAACCAAGGTGAGGGAATATCTTGCTGTCCAAGACTTTTTTCTGTGCTTAAGTGCCCATGGCTTTCCTTTGGAAGCCATTCAAGATTTTCTTTTTCTTTTCTGTAGCTTTCCTGGTCTAGACCTATATTAAATGAAGGATTGTAAACCTTTCTCAGTAGATGGTAGAGAATAGCCAGACTTGTTATCTCTCTGATTATTCTTGAATTCTTAAAAGCAACAATAGCAATAATATGGATTGGTCTCCCTCTAATATTATGATGATGATTTGGAGGTTTATCTTTACCAAATGAAACAAATACAACAGTCTAAAGCTAATTATGTATCTGGGCAACATGAAGGATGGATAAAGAGTAGCTGCCTGAGCCACGCCTGAGTTAGATTGGTGCATGGAAGAATATTTATTGAACGACTCTCCCAAGTCCAGTGCAGGCTTTTTCTTTTAAGTGCACACAACCTGTAGCAAGGTCATGTTGTGCGTACTCCTTTAGTGTCCCGGGTGGTTCCCCAGTGCTGGATGCTCCCACAGCAATGTCCCCTCAGACATCTGCTGGAGCAGTCCCTTCTTTCACCCCCACGGTGCTGTGGCCTTGCCCATCACCAGGTGTTGGCTGAGGGCACAGCAGGCAATGACCTGGCCCCTGCCAGCAAAGAAACAGCAGAATTTAGGTGTACAGCCTTGCCCAACAGGGAGTGGAACACACAGCATCTCCTCAGCCACATCAAGTACCTCAGAGCTTCTCAAAGGACATGGAGTCATATCTAAAAGGAGTAGCAACACCCTGGACACAATCCATAAGTTAGGCCTAAGTTATGTTCAAGGCTAGTTTAAGCCACAGAATTGTACAATCATATCCTTTACCAGCTCTTTTTTTGTTTGTTTGATGGAACTCACATTGTGATGAAGGCCACATAGAGGACAATACTTTTGCAGGGATCAAAACAGTGGAAACAAACAATTTTAGGAGTTAAGGAATATGACCTTTCTTACCAGCTTCTGCTTGAAGGACTGAAAATATGTTCTTTAGAGCATTTGCAACATTTCTTGGTTTATTATAGGCTAATGAGGCATGTGTTACCCCTAAACAGCATGAAAAAACCTCAACCTTCTGCTGTGAAAATTCAACCTTTTCAAGGTTGTCACTAGTCTACAACAAAAAATATCAGATGCAGAGCTGAAAATAATGAACTGTATAAATAGACATGTAGTTTCTTCACTTTACCCTCCTGAGTATGCTCCCTAGGTACTTCACGCTGTGTCAGTTTTCATTTGGTAAAGATCTGTCCTAACATTTGGAAAATAAGAAATGTAGTTCAAATAAGACTTCTTGAATAAGTTTGGAAGTGGTATAATAAAGTACCTGACTGAAGTTGCATAAAAACTTTTTAAAAATGTCTGTTGTACTTATCTATTCTTTTGCCAAAGAGATTGACAAAGTTAATACACATGGTGTTCCTGATGTTCATGAGCATCTTTTTTTCAGTATTGTTACTCCATTGTGTTCTTTCTCATGTAATTTTTTCAGAACTAAACAAATCTCTGTTCTGGTATTTGATTTTGTTCTTGTATTCTCCTTCATGCTCTCCATGTAAAGGAAGAAAAAATATTTTTAGTGCAATAAGAAGTAGTTAGAATCCTAGCACTGATAATCCAAAGTCTGTAAAGAGACATTAACCAATAAATCCACCCTCACCCCAGCATAGTGTTATTTAGCAATTAATTGCAAAGTTGTTTGTAGGTTGGTTTGCGACTGGTACATTTCAATTTGGCCTCACCAGATACTCCTTTCAAACAGATAAGTAGACAGATTCCTCCTGTCTAGTTGCGCCTCATCTTCAGCAATGGGTGTCCAGTTGATACTCTGGGGTGATACTTTGAGCATGGCTGCACAAAATGGAACCTGAGTGGAAGCACTGTGGAAAAAAGTCCTTGGAAAGGTCATTATTTAAATATATCTCATGTGAGCCTGCCCTCTTCTCCTCCCCAGCTTTACAGCAAGTGTACATGACAATAAAAATATAAGAAAAGCAATGGGCTGACATTCCAAAGCACTCTACAGCATTTCTAAAGCTGTAGAAAACCATTGACTTTGGGACTCTTTCTGTGAAAGAATAATCCGTAATGATTTTTCACGTGTGCAAGGAATGAAAAGACTCTAATCTCACAAACCTGACATAGCTAAGATGAGCTTCAAGCCCTGATAAGCACACACAGTCTTCTTGGATCCCAGAGACTGCAGGATGTGAGCACAGTCATTGTAGTTTAGCAAAGCACAGATGAGAGCTGTCTGCATCTGAGTTCTCTGTTTGTGTGACCCTGCAAAGGCTAGTGCAGCACCAGAGGCTTCCCATCCATGCTGAGATGCTGAGTGCTCTTCAGATGTCAGGTGATGTCTCTCTTTGTGGCTGATCCCAATCTAAAGCTACATTTTAGAGGATAAAGCACAGAGCCTCCACTTTGTCTTTCAGCATCGTGTAACACTCCTTCAGAATATCCTTCAGAAACACGAAAAAGGTAGAAAAATCTCCTCCAATTACAAGTCATTCTTGTAGCATACATTTTGGAGACAAATTGAAGAAAAAGATCAGTCTAGATGAGAAATAAAGATGCCACACCTAAACTGTATTTTTAAACTGAAAATCTCTCCCTCCCCAGGGAGATACAAAATTCTACCACAAAGCAGAATAAAAATATATCAAGGCCAGCTTCTCAAAGTGGGTTTAAAAGGTAGTGTTATTTCTCACTCAAGTTTTTTGAAGTTTGAATATGCCATTTGTGCTTTTGTTGTAATATGCAATATAGAAGGATTGAAATGCTTAAAAATTACATGATTATCACTGTAATTTAACACTCAGTTAATGAAGGCTTGAACTGTTGCCCATATTGCCATAGTGGAGCTAGCAGGTATCCATAATGAACAGAGTTTACATTTGCAAAAAACTGAGTTTGAAATAAAGGTTAATCCACTGCCATATAAACATTTGATCTTACAATGATCCCATTAACCTTTCTCGTACGCAAGGCTTAGGCATAAGTAGCTGGCAAAATACTAACCTTATTTAAAATTGCAGAGCTGTGAGTACCCAACTTTTTTTTGCATAGGTGCAAAAGTTTAAAGCTTCCTCTGCAAAGTGATCAAGACCAAAGTCTCACAGGTTTTGTTAATGTGTTAAAACCATGCTGCAATCAGCAGTTTAATGAAGAAAACTCAATTTAAAAAATGAAAGTTTTTTCATCTGTGTTGATTTGATTTCAATCCTATCCTGACTACAAGAATGAGGAGGAGTTGGGAAGTTCCTCTGAGTGGGCTCTTTGGCAGACCCTTTCACCAAGATCTCAGGTGAGACTCATCCTACAACTGTGACTGAGCCTCCCAGCAGTGACAGTAGCAGAGAGATCCTCTCTTGGCTGGTCCTAAGGGAGGAGTGGTCATGCCAGGTTTAATGACAGCTAGAAGTTTCCCAACACTGATATTTTCTCATTAGTGGGACCTATCTGCTTCCCGATGGAGGGACTCTGGAGAGCTGCACTGGTGTGGACTTTTCAACTCTGCAAGATCTCCGTGAAAAATAAATGCAGCCAACAGCTGCACTGCAAAATCCAGCTTGGATGTCTGCAGATGTGACTAGAGTTACTGCTTCCAGGCAGAGGGGAGGTCATTAATCACAGGGTCATATAATAATCTAGGCTAAAATGGGTTTCTGGAGGTCATCTAATCTAACCCCTGCTCAAATAAGACAGAAGTTCAAAACCAGAGCAGGTTGCCCAGTACTTGTAGCTTCTGTGAGAGCTAGCAGGGAAAGGCCCACACAGATGAGTAGTGTGACAGTAGGAAAGTGACACTGAGAATAAGAGCAGATGATGGCCATGAAGCATGGTCCTAAATTTCTATATGCTCCACTGTTTGGCAATCTGTTCCTATCTTCCAGCCCTAGAAGAAAGCTAGCAATAATTTATTTGTATTTTCTTTAAACACAAGCCAACTTTTTGGCATGTTGCCATGGGAGGTCAGCTTCGCTACTTCAGGAGTAGGACATGCCAGGTTGCTAAGGGACGAGTTTAAAAACAACAAATAATTTCAACCCTGATAGTGGATTAACCCAGAAACTAACACTGTGGGTGTATTTTGAATGATAGAGCTAATATTTTAGTCAGGTTAAAAAAAAGATATAGATAATATGCACCTGTGTTTTTTGGATTATCTGAACCAACCTTTTTGACATGAAAATAGAAGCTGTTTGCAAAAGAAGCTCTGGGTCTTCCATGAGCTTGTGCAGCACCTAGCACATCAGAGATGCTCAAAAAAAATTCCAGAAATATGAAGTTATTTATTATATTAAGTTATTTATTCTGGTGGTTTTGCAAATCTTTTGTCCCATGTACTCTTTCAATTCTGCGTTTCAGGAAAAAATAGCTACTCTAGGCTATCCCTAAGGAGATGATGGCAAGGTGAGTTGCCAGGGCACCACTGAGTCTTTGGGCATTTCCAGCAGCAGCTGTGATGAACAAGACCAGCTCTGCAGCTGCTGCCATTCACGTCCCATTTGGTGCAATACCCCACAGCCATACAAATGGCTCTGGAAAAGCTGACTCCAGGAATGCCAGCACAGATGAAGGCAGCTTGTGCAGCCCACAGGGCGGGAGAGTACCTGTGCTGGTGGCAGAGAGGTGGTGGAGATGCTGCACCACCCCCCCACGCCGTGACCTCCCGAGCAGCTGTGTCTGACCAGCCTTGTCACCTCTTGGTCACCTGTCAGCGCCACCCGTCTCTCTGCATGAGAGGAGATTTCCCTCTCTATGGACAGCCCATTTTGGTCATGTTCCACCTCCATTTATAATGGGAATTGTAGCATATTTAAGATGCCACATTTCTCAAAGATAGAAATCTGCAATTATGTTTCTTTAAGAACAATTATTACCACAGGCCATGGTGAAAGTGGATAGAAGTCCTTACCATTGATTTGGTTTCACCAAATGGCTCATTTTTATTTCTCCCTTATGGCAGCAGAAATGGCAAAAAGTAGATGTCTGGACATTTTAATGTACCTGGCATAGATGGCAATATATTTGCACTTGCATCCAGCTAATATGCACTTGCTAGACTGCACACTTTATAATCTGCAACAGAAGTTGGCAGCCTCTCCACCTCTCATCTAAGATTTAAAGAAAGGTACTGCAGTCTCCTATTAATAGCATCATTTCTCCTAGCTACAGCGCATGGGCTACTGAGCATAACATGAGGAATTGCCTCAGCACAGCAGCTTGAAAACATGCCATTGTCATAAACAGCAAATCAGGGACAACAACATAAATGAGCTGAAAACACCTTTTGACTAATTGCGCATTTACATTTGCTTATCTACTTGTTAGTTTGCAAATTTAATTATTTTCCAAAGAGTTTCTAATCATTACTGCAAATTAGTGAGCTACTGTTGCATTACACATTGTTAGACTGACCTGACTAGAAGAAGCAGAATTAAATAGCAGAAAATGGTAGAAATTAAAATGGAAAAAGAAATTAGGTTCTCATAACAAGCATAAGATTACTGCACATTTTCTCATAATTCAGAAATAACAAACTGCAGGAAAACCCTACATGTTAAGATCTCTCCTGAAGGAACAGATGCCCTTATTAGTCACTCTCCCTTGCCTTTTCACCCCCCCCAAAAAAAGCTGGAAATAATATGTATACTATGGCAAATGTCAATGCTGACATAATCTATAGCAATTCTTAGATTAGGAACCACCTGATCACATCTTTCTTTTCTATCCAGCCTGTGGTCATTTGTCAGGGATGCCATGCCATGATTTTAAGGAAACATTGGTCAAATCTGAGCCTTGTCAAGATCAAGTGGCCCTCGGTAACACATCAGCCAGGCTGTGAGAAGCGTTTTCAACAGAAATAATGTCACATCAGGAGGGCTGGCTCTGGGGCACAAATTAAGTCCCAAGGCTTCTCAGCCCAGCCAGGAGAAAAACAGCTCTGCTATGTTCAGGTGGTGTGGAAGGCCGGAGCTGCCAGCCTGAGTGCACAGCGCTGTGCCTCACCACAGTGACTGGGACACCCCACAGGGACCGTGACACCCCACAGTGTCCGTGATGCCCCACAGTGCCTGTGGCACCCCAGAGTGACTATGACACCCCACAGTGACCGTGACACCCCACAGTGACCATGACACCCCACAGTGACCGTGACACTCCACAGTGACCATGACACCCCACAGTCACTGTGAAACCCAGTGACACCCCACAGTGACTGTGACACCCCACAGGGATGACGACATCCTCTCAGGAGTCTCTGTGGTCAGGATGACCCCAGATGTGTTAGAGAGTTTCTTTCCCAGCCCGGCAACCAAAGAAGGAGTCAGGATTCTTCTGTTCTGGTTTTCAAGGTTGTTTATTTTCTCTTATCTAATACATTCTGAGGTCTGTTCAGCAGGTCAGTCTGTGGCACACTGCCCACCCTCAAGGCACCGTTGTCTTTTTATACTAAGAACTACGTGTACTTTATTTACAAT